ATGAGGGACACATAGTGCAAAGGCATTGAGTTTGGAGTTAAGAGCGTTATGTATAGTGAAGAACAAGAGGGCAGTTGCTGCTGGATCTTAAAATACATGAAGAAGACAAAGGTATAGGAAGATAGGAAAGGTAGAGACAAGATCATGAAGGGCTTTAAATGCCCGACAAGATTTTTTTTTGTTAGAGCCTGGAGGTGATAGTGAGCCACTGGAATTTATTGGGGGAAATGGTTATCACATAGTTAGACCTGTAAGACCTGTACTTTAAGAATATCACTTTCACAGCTAAGTAGAAGATAGATTGCAGTAGAGAGAGACTTCAGGCAGAGAGTCCAATCTGAAGGCTATTAATGCAGTAATCCATGTGTGAGACATTGCCAGTGTGAGGTAGAGAATGGATATATATGTATGTATGTATGTATGTATGTATGTATGTATGTATGTATATATAACAAGACTTATCAACATTAGATATATTGAGTGAGTATGACAGAGTTGAGGATGATACAGAAGTCTGATTGACTGGGAAGATGATGGTGCACTCAATAGTAATAGAAAAGTTTGTAAGATGGTAGGATTTGCAGGGAGGGGGGTAGATAATGATGTTTTAGACATGTTGAGTTTGAGATACATTTGAGACATCCAATTTGAGATGCCCATAAGGCATATGAGACTAGAGCTCAAGGATGAATTTAGAGCTGGATATATACATCTGGGAATCATCCATAAAGGGATGCTCATTGAATCCACAGGGACTGATGAGATCACTAAACAAGATAGTGAGAGAAGAGAAGAGGGCCCAGGACAGACCTTTGGGGAACACTCACAATTACTGGGCATGACATTGCTAATGAGCCAGCAAACAAAACAGAAGGAATGATCAGACAGGTAAGAGGAGAATGAGAGAGTAGCTAGGAGAAGAGGGTGACCAACGGTGTCAAAGGTTACAGAGAGGCAAGAAAGCATGAGGATTTAGAGAAGATCATTAGGTGATTAAGGGAGCAGTTTCAGTTGAATGGTGAGGCTGGAAGCCAAATTGCGGAAGGATTAAAATAGAGTGAGAGGTGAGGTTGCTCAGGCAGTGATTGTAGACAGCTTTCTCAAGGGGTTTGAAAACCAACAAAGGGAGGACATATATATTGGAAATCTAATTACACCTAGGGAAAAAGAAAAAAAATACAGTCTTTAAAATATGTATGTGTGTGTATAATAATTATTATTTCTTTGTGAACCTTAAAGTGCTATATAAATGTTAGTTATTATCATTATACTCACACCTGTGAAAAATATGTGAGAAACAGTTTCTTCTTAAAGACTTAAACGTTACTCATTGTTTTGCTTAGTCAAAACCTCAGTACTTCCATGCGTCTGTGGTTGAATCAATGCTAGCATTTCACTGATGCAGACCCCAGACTATCCATGTCTTCTTGTCTTTAATGGATAACTTTTGTCCACGTCTCTTTTCAAATGCTTCTAACTTCTACCCTTTAAAACCCCAATTTCCTGCAAAGCCCAGCTTAGTTGCCACTCTTACAGGAATCTATTCTTAATCACCTTTCTACCTCTTACAATTATGATGTATTACTTTGTGCTAATTTATTTTCATACGTACATTTGTGTTGTTACCCTAACCCATTGGTTTCCAATGTTTTTCATTCCACTACCCCTTTTCAGTGACAAAAAAGTGTTATGAACCCTCAGGCTAATTTTATATACTACTCAAAATATTCTTTATAAGTGCCATAAAAGAATATTTAGTGCAAACTCCTTGTACCATTGGACTGGGTACATGAACCATTAAATGGTAACCACTTTCCTAATCTCACCTCATTTTGTGAAGCATATTCAATATAAGTTCTTTGGGGGTTTGGGATAGAGAGATAGGATTGTTTCCTTTTTTGTCTCTGTATTTATTGAACCTGGCACAGTGGCCTGTCAAATAGTAGGTCCTTAATGTGTAATTGCTGAATTAAGTAGAACAAAGAGCGCTCAAGGAGGTTTTACCCAATGAGCTGGAGGACTTAAATTCTTTTAATAGTTAGTAGGTACCAACGTAGTTGCCATTTTTCTTATTTCTTCCTCTTACCCCAGAAATCTCCCTTTACCCCAACGTATTTTGTCTTGACTTTACTAGGGAATCCTGGAAAGGACAGGGCTTTCGAAGACATTGAAGAATCCAGACTGGTTAGTGTAGCTAGCCAAATTTATGGGATAATTACTAATCACTATTAGAACTTTGGCCTGGGCTGGTAGCATAAAGTGAGTAAAACCTTAAAAGAGTTTCTCAAGGTAATCCAGTCTTGAAAATATATAAGTCATGTAACTGTGAAAATTGTTAACGTGGAATCCCAGAATGAAATTATTCTCTTTCCTTGAGTTTTGAGCGTGACAGAGTAGTTTGTGGTAGCAAGTATTGCTGATTTGTTATGAATAACAAACAAGAAAAAAGCTTATATTGAATATACTTGGCAGAGTGAGGTAGGGTTAGGAAAGTGATTACCATTTAATGGTTCATGTATCCAGTCCAATGATGGTACAATGAGTTTGCATTAAATATTTGTTACTTCATTGGTGCAAGTAATTGCTGATGGGGTGGTAGCTCCCTTTCCCAAAGCAAGTACTCAACTTGCAACTTATGGTCTTACCTGGGGCTGTTGTTTGTCTTTTTTTTTTTTTGTGAGGCAGTTGGGGTTAAGTGACTTGTCCAGAGTCACAAAGCTAGTGAGTGTTATGAGTCTAAGGTCAGCTTTGAACTCAGGTCCTCTTGACTCTAGGGCCGGTGCTCTATCCACTGCACTACCTAGCTGCCCCTTGTCTTTTGTTTTTGAAGAGGAACAGAGACATCATGGTGTTGGGGTCAGGGCACAGTGTGTTTGGCTATGGCTGGTCAGTCCAGTACAAACTTAGAAGGTTCTACCACAGGTCGGGCACGAATAGTCCATCAGTACATCTGTCTCTGAATTTGTGCAGCTCGTGTTTTCTTTTTGCTGCTGTGATTCTGTTTTACTCATGGAGCACACCACGCTGGGTAGTCCTGTGCCAGTGTCTCCCATGTCTCACAATCAATACTAAAGCTATTCAGAGAAAAACCTGAAAACATCTTTATGTCAATTCTTCTGACCACCATGTGTCTGCTTGCCTTTTGCGAGTTGTCTATAAAATAGCCCATTTAGAGGTTAACTGAGTGGTCTAGGATTCCACAGCCAATATGTATCCAAAGTAAGCCTTGAACTTGAATACCTTCCTGATAAGTCTAGCTGTCTATCCCCATACCAGGCTGGCTAACATTCAGCAATAGTAAGGTAAGTAGTTTATTGAAATCTTTGTTTTGAAGCATTTGTTGTTCAGTTGTTCTGGATGAGTCTGACCCTCTGTGACCCTATTTGGGGTTTTCTTGGAGTGGTTTGCCATTTCCTTCTCCAGCTCATTTTATAGATGAGGAAACAGAGGCAAACAGGGTGAAGTGACCTTCCCAGAGTCACACAACTAGAAAGTAGCTGAGGTCAGATTTGAACTCATGAACATGAATCTTCCAGACTTTAGGCCCAACACTCTATCTACTCTGCCACTCGCTGTTTGGAAGCATCAGGCTCAATCAATCCTATGACAATTTTAAAGGACACATAAAGCTGACCAATTTTCCCATGATTTCAGGTGGAGAGTTAAACTAGGTAATTCAGGCCAAGATTTCTGAGTCTGAATCATTCCAACATGTATCACTCTCTGCTGTTCTTATTGATTAATTACTTTAGCTGCAGTGACATAAGCAGTGTCACTTCTGTGCTCCTTTACATCCCCCCCATACCCTCCTCAGTACGTCTTTCATTTTATAAGATTGCACTTGATGGACATATTTCAGCTTTGCCAGGTGGACCTTTTAAAAAGATTTTTGCCTCCTTTCTCTCTGCAGTTTCTGTTTTCCTATTCTGCAATACAGCCAATAAGAACTCATAATTTGGCTAATAGGTTCCATTGAGGGCCCCATACTTAAATTTACAAGAAGAATTTATTTCAGTGTTTTAGCCTTTGGAAAGTGATGAATTTGTTTAATAGATGTGCAATTAACCAGCTCAAAAATGATCATTAGAAACCCTTTTTATTTGGCTACTATATGTCGCCAAACCCTCAGTCCATTTATCACCAGCTGCATCCATTAATTCAGTATTGCTTGTCCTTGACTAAGAGCCTTCTGAAACTTCACATTTTGAATTTAACAAAGTACAAATATTAGGACAGAATTTTTCTGCCTGAATGTATTTGATTTTAAAGCTCAATTATGCTTGGAAAACATTGTTTTCGAGTTTTTCTTACCATTTTTGTTGCTTTACAATATATTAAAAAATAAAGAAAGAAGGATGGGCAATCCATACAGTAGGGCTGCAGTTGATGAATATTACCAGCTTTCAAGTGGATGCTTTGCTGTTCAAAAAAAAAAAAGGAAAAGAAAAGAAAAGAAACCCTCTATCTGGGTTGGGGTGGGGTATGTGTATGCGATTTTTTTGAGGCCTAGTGCTAAGAATTTCAATGTCTTTTTATGTTTGTCTACATTTGGGGTGGAATACATATCTGATCCAGCTGGGCAGTCATTCAAAAGAATACTGCCTATAGCTTTTGGTACTCCAACTTCTAAAATGTGAAATCTGGTTGGGGAAAATTAACTCCCTAAGTATATTAAGTGTGTGTGCGGTGCAAATACCAAGAATCCAGGTTTGATTGTAGTCTACTATCATTTATTCCATGGCTTTTGGATAAGATCTGAGGTTCCAGTCTAATTCAATACACATGGTACACACTGTATCCCTAGGATCAGTCATAGAAGGGCTGCCATTTTTACAATTAGAAAAATGAAAACAAGAAGGAAACTTTATTGTCTACTAGTTTAAGTTCTAAATATGTTTTCTCTCTCTCTCTCTCTCTCTCTCTCTCTCTCTCTCTCTCTCTCTCTCTCTCTCTCTGTCTCTGTCTTTTCTTTTCCTCTCTTCTTTCCTCTGGGTTTCCAGTTTATCGTGGTTTCTGGGCAGTGTTCCTTCTCCTCGGTGTCATGGCGGCCATAATCGCTACCTTCTTCCTTATCTGCGCTGCTCCCTTTGCCAGCCATATTCTGTTTAAAGCAGCAGGAGGAACCTTTATCACTGCTGGTAGGTTGTACATTGTACATAGTTTTCAGTCCAGAGTTCTTCATACTTTTTTAAAAAAAATTTGTTTTTGGGAATCCTAAAATTAACTCCTAACTCAGCCATTGACTTTCCATAGGATCTTGAACAGGCATCCAATCTAGTAGACCTTGAATTTTTCCATCTGTTGGACTGTGAAAAGTCACAACTCCAGAAATTTGGTGGCCTCAGTATAGCTATGGACTTTCTTATGATGTCTGACAAGCAGTAGAAAATTAACCCAAACTAAAATACTGTGATATATATTGCCTGTGAATGAGCTGTGTTTTGTTGTCCTATTTGGTACTATTACAACAGGGAGGGGACAACAATGATTACCGATGAATTAATTATCTCTAAAATCAGGATTTATGTCACATTTTCTTTTTTCCTTTTCCCTTCTTCCAGGTGGAACAGATTCAAACCTAGAGCTGTCTACTACATACACACATATATATATGTGTGTGTATATGTGTGTGTGTGTGTACATGTGTGTATCACTGTTCTTTTACCATATTAAAAAACAACAGTAGTCTCATATACATGGGCACATGACATTAAATGACATTTTAGAAATACATTTTCCTCATTGTTGGTATCATCTTGCTATAGATTCAGTTGAGAAATTCGAATCCTTGAGGCTAGATTCCTCGGAGTTATCTTTGAATCTTTCCTAACTTTTGTTGTAAAAAATTCTACTGATTTTTCCATGAAAGTTTCTCTTGAGAATTCACCTCACTCCATTTAAGTATTTATGTCATGATTACACTGTGTGTAATATTTATTGGCAAGGGTGTTAGGTGATATTATTCATCCTTTTTTTTTTTGGTGAGGCAGTTGGGGTTAAGTGACTTGCCCAGGGTCACACAGTTATTTTGAGTATCATGTGTCTGAGGCTGGATTTGAACTCAGGTCCTCCTGACTGTAGGGCCGGTGCTCTATCCACTGTACCACCTAGCTGCGCCATTGTTCATCCTTCTTAATGACATAAGCAGAAGCAGTATGTTACTGGCATGTGTATGACATGTGTACTTATATGTATATGTATATATGTATATGTATGTGTGTATATATATACATACACACACATACACACACACACACACACACACACGTTCTGAAATGCTAGGTGGCTCAGTGGATAGAGTGCTGGGCCTGGAGTCAGGAAGACTCATCTTCCTGAGTTCAGATCTGGCCTTGTACATTTACTAGCTGTATGACCCTGGACAAGTGACTTGACCCTGTTTGCTTCAGTTTCCTCATCTGTAAAATGAGCTGGAGAAGGAAATGTCAAACCACACCAGGACATGTGGCAAGAAAATCCTAAATGAGGTCAGGAAGAGTTGGACATGACTGAACAGAAAACTCATATGTGCATATCATTTGTATGTAATACATGATGTATAAACAGAATTTATATAAGAAATTGATTATATATGTAATTTTTATATGAAATTTATAAGTAGAAGCAGCCTAGCAGAGCGATTAGAGAGCCAGGAAGACCTGGGTTCAAGTCCTGCTTCTAATAAATTCTTACTGTGTGTACCTCAGTCAACTCCTTAAGACTCTGAGTTGCAGAAAAGATGCTGATCTGTGTGAATAGAGGGAGTTTCCTTATGGGGAGGCCTCTATACCAATACAATCCCAAGTCTTGTCTCTGTCCTGGTATCTTTAAAATGTTTATTTTTTCTCAAATTCCCAATACTTGCTTTAGGTATTGAAATATGAGTCCATGAGTTGTTTTTATTATCAGAAACCTAAATAAGAATTAATAACCTGATAATACAAATTAAAAATAAAGGACATACGAAGAAAGATGCTATCTGTATCCATAGAAGGAATTGACAAATAGAAGTAGGTATAGAATAATTTTACATATATACATACCTATTCGTGTTTGATGATAGCCATCTCTAGGGAGGGAATGGGAAAAAAAGGGGAAAAAAAAGAAATTTACATGATAACTTTGTTGTATATTTGAGGGGAATAGCAAGTTGTACATAGTAGTTTTCTTGTGCAGTCATCTTTTTATTGTACTGTGTTATAGAAATGCTTGTTTGGCTTAGAGAATTGAAAATAAAATAAATTTGTTATACAAAAATTAAAAAAGCCAGACAAGTAGGTGAAGAATATGAAAGAAGCATAGGAGAATCGGGGAGAGGGAATAAGCATTTATGTAGCACCTACTGTATGCCAAGCGCTGCACTAAGTAGGTACTTTACAAGTGCTATCTCATTTGATCCTCACTGTAACTCTATGAAGTAGGTGCTTTTATTATCCCCATATTATGGTTGAGGAAACTGAGGCAAACTAAAGCTTAGCAACTTGCTCAGGGTCACATAATGTCAGAGACTGGATTTGAACTCAGGTCTTCCTGATTCCAGACTCAGGATTTTATCCATCGTACCAACTAGCAGCCTAGGTGATGATTTTTTTTTAAATTTTTGGGCAGTTGGGGTTAAGTGACTTGCCCAGGGTCACACAGCTAGTAAGTGTCAAGTGTTTGGCCTAGAGGCCGGGTTTGAACTCAGGTCCTCCTGACTTCAGGGCCGGTGCTCTATCTACCGCGCCACCTCGCTGCCCAGTGGTGGTTCTTGATCTCAAAGAAATGATATTCTAATTGGAGAGACATGACGAATATAATCCCTAACAAAATGACCTGCAGTAGCTCTTCATTGTTTATTAGATCCAACGCACAGCCTTGAGCCTGGTATTTAAAGTCTTCTCACAATCCTCTCCCAGACCTCATTTTTATCGGAAAAGAAAATACCTGACCTGCAATAAAAGTTGGAAAAGGATTCAAGCCCATGCCCTCTTAGCTAAACCTGAGGGGAATTTAGCACCACCTGTGACTACAAATGACTCATAACTCTTCCCTGTTGACTTCCATAAGCTGCTAAATTAGGGGTTCTTTTTCTTTTTTGTGTGTGTCATGACCCCTTTGGCAGTCTGATGAAGCATATAGACACCTTAGAATAATATTTTCAAATGTATAGGATAACCATAGGCTTACAAAGGAAATCATTTATATTGAAATAGTTTTCAAAATATTTTTTAAAAAAGTTCACAGATTACAGATTAAGAACCTCTGCACTAAATGAAAGGGTATGCCTCTGAGAATCCCATTTTCCTCAAGTAACATGCAGGTGACGTGTGTCCTCAGAGAATCAGCAACAGCTAACAGCAGGTCAGTGATAAACTTCTCTGTCTCTTCAGACTTCTAGAATCATCTTCCACTAAGTGCTGTGGGGGCAGCAAGGTGACACAGTGGAGAAGTGCCAGACCTGGAGTCAGGAAGACCTGAGTTCAAATCTCACCTCAGATACTTACAAGCTGTGTGACCCAGGGCAAGTCACTTAATCCTGTTTGCCTCAGTTTCCTCATCTATAAAATGAGCTGGAAAAGGAAATGGCAAACGACTCTCGTGTCTTTGCCAAGAAAGCCCCAAAATGGGGTCATGGGGAGTCTAAATGATTCAACAGTAAGAGCTGAAGCACATATAACAGAAAGGCTAATTTTTCTGTAGCCTCAGGGCAGTGTTTTATTTTTACTTTATTTTTTGTTATTAAGTTGAAACTGCCTTTACTTCCTTTTTATTTTCCTTCTTCCTGGGGCACAGGAGTTAGACAGCAAGGGACCATGAAGTAGCATGGATGTAGCACTAAGTACTTGCATTTTCTGATTGTCCCAGAATGAGTTTGGGATTGTAGAATAGAGGAAATAAATACAGCAAGCTCAGCTGGGGCAAATTTCTAATTTGTCTGGGTGTGTCAGGGAGGGTGATTCTATTCTGGCACTCTATCCATTGCACCAACTAGCTGCCTCTCAGGCACATGGTAGTTACGCATTAAATATTTGTTGAATTGATTTAAATTGAGAAGTCAGTGTCTTTGGAAAGACATTCAAGTTATCAGCTATTCATGTACCTCTAGAGAAATAGCAAAAAATACAAAGGATCACATCTAATGTTGTTTCTTTTATATGACAAATTTTAAAAAAAGACCTACTGGTAAGTTCCTTAAGATATTAGACTTGGCCACTATTTGTAAAGTAAAATACACTGTCCTTAGAGTCATGAAGGAGTGTGTCATGTTCTAGTTTTGCTAATAACTTCTTGTGTGAGCTTGGACAAGCTTGGTTAATCTCGCTGGCCTTCAGTTTCTTTATATGTAAAATGAGATTCTATTAGATAATCTCTAAGATGCCTTCTGGCTCTTGACAATCTCTGAGTTTAAGCTTATATATTTAAGGATGTTTTTTAGCTACTGTACCCTGTAAATACAAGATTCTTCTCATTCCCCTACTCTGCCTTTTCCTGTCTTTTCCTCAATATTTACAAATAATGGGGGAATGTAACAAAACTTTTCAGTAATTAAACATTACAGCAATTAGGCCACACTTTTAAACTCAGAAATTATCCTGGCCATTCACTGATACTGGAATTATCTTTTTTAGGAGATCTTTTGTCTTCCCTACTCATACATGATGTATATCTTGGGGGGGGGTGTAGAAAAAATCTCCAAAAAAATTCTCAAACTGAAAACACATTCTTCACCTTTTTATGTTGGAGTCTTTCTGTGGATTATGTATTTTGGCTGAGCACTCGGTGGGCAAGTGAAACAGCTGTTACCAATTCACATGCCACTGACAGGTGGCCAGGGCTTTATGCAAAAATCTTGTACTGACAGGGCCCCAAAAATACTTACGGGACAAATACAAGTATATGGAGGGGAACTTGAAGTTGGGGCCTGGGTGTCCTGAAATGGAGACATGCCTCCAAATGCCCCAGTGTTGTTATATCCCTGCTGTTGGCTTTTGTATAGTATATGCAAACTGCATCTACAAAAAAGTTAGAGATAAATATTTATGGAGTAACAATTTTAAAAAATCACTATTCTTAAATGAAATAACAAGGCACTTACCCCTCTGGGTCTCCATTTCTTCATCTGCAAAAATGAAGAGATTGGACAGATGAATGAATAAAG